ATTTTTCACGCATTTGTGTCATAACACAAAAAGAAAAGGAAAAGTTATTGCCTTATATTTAAAATTTATGAAAACACATCCTGAAATATTTGCTGAAAGCTGCTTTAAGGGAGTTCTTCAGAATCGACTTTCAAGTTTAAAAAATTGAAGAGTAATTTTACATATAACTATTTTTCAAGTGCACCGGGGATTACGATGCTGTACTTTATATAATTTTAACAGGTTCGAAATTCCTCGCGAGACCAAGATGCGTTTTTTAAGGCAGGCATATCCTCTAACAAATTTCTGCTTGCTGAAATGATTGATATATTTTTTGCGTATACATAAAGCGACTGCCTCATTTGAAGGAGTTTCTGCGTTGGTCAGCACAGCCCGGTCGGTGGTGTGCAAGTAAGCAAATTATTGCAACATAAAACACATAACATCTTGTATCAACAATGCATTCGATTAACATCAGATTCTTTCATTTGTCAGCGTCATTTGCGTCATTTGTTTTTATTTATTAAAGCGTAAGTGATATCGTGTGACCAGCATTTTCTGTTCATTAAAGGATTGTTACCCAATATTTCTGCTGATTAAGCGAATCTAACTCAATATCAAACAATAATGTTTTTGCATCCGCAGCCCAAAGAGAAAGAAAGTTGAATGAAATGATGTACTGTTATAGGGACATTTCAGCGGAAATTAAGAAAGTAAAAAGTGTTTTCATCATTTCAGATCTGAGTAGTCCGTTCAATAATGCTTATTATGAATTGTTTTCTTGAATGCCCCTCTAAATATTGCATGTCGACAACGTACAAATAATAGCTGGTGAAAGTAATTCATATACTTTGTCATATCTTCTTCTATATACCTTATAAATTTCGCGAATTTCCTGCTTTGAGAATTCAAACTAATTTGTATTTTAGTTAGAGCACCGAAAGTAATCCTTTTTTTGAGCTCCCTCAAATTTATTATAGTTAGAAATCTCATGTTTGGTTAAAGTAGCCTTTCGTGAAAAGTATGTCTTATTGGCAGAAATATATACACTATTTCTGTCGCACACATGGGAATCGTTTTCTTGCAAATGCTATGCCAGACAAAATTCTGCTCCCAGCCTCCACCTTAACTGATAAGGAAATATGAAACTTGACAAGCAAAATTTTGAGAATAAGTGTAGCGTTGAGCTCCGATAAGAACTTATCTTCTCCAGCAGAATAACGGTAATGTCTGGTGAGATGCGATCTTTAAGAAACAAATCGAAAGAATATTCATTGCTCAGGTTCCTATCTTTGATAAAGATAACACGGGTAAAGCTGTAATCTTCATGGCAATTACCGTACAACTAAAAATAAAAAACGGTCATTAAGGCAGTGAACAATATGTAGAATAAAATTATATGATAAATTTTCGAGCAATTTCTTTTCTTTCCAAACATTACTGCAACATCTTCGCTCGCATGCCTTCTCGTACATTTTCCACCAGCATCCTCTCTAAGAGGACGATACAATTTTTAATAGGAAGCTTTTATAACAGCCGAGTCGCAGAGAAATCCTTGGCACATCATTGTTCTTATTACGTGACAGCGTGGGACAAGCGGCCTGTTGATGATCCTCGATAGCTAAGAACAAAAGTAAGCCCCGGAAACGACCTAGAAACATCTCTAGTAGTTCCACCTTGAGTGCCGAGTGATCGAACGACTGTGCGGCGCAGGTTACAGATAAATGCCTAGGATCTGCGTAGCAATGGTTGACTATCATATCGTGCTAGAGATTGTAGTAGAGGTAGTATCATCTTCTGGGGTCCATCACCGATGATAGCCCTAACCATGGTTGAATTAATACAAGGTTGACCCACGCGCAGCTGCTCTTTGCGGATGTCGTTTGTTGTTCCGACTGTGACGTCACCGTGGGCCCAAAATGTAAATACTGTCGCGAAAGACGTTGTTTTTGTGCCGATTTTGAGATCAATTTAAAAAATATTGCCCTCCTTAAAATCGTTATAAAAATCCCAGTAGCTTCAGCTAGTCTGTCTCTAAGTATATAGGGCTTATTGAGCAATTCCATAGTGTAAAACGAATAAATTCGAAACAAACAAACAAGGCCGACTTGCTGAGAGGCCGTAATCGGCAAGGAGTTCCTGTCCGATCATTCAGAAGATGACCATAAAAAATGAAGCTCTCTCCTCAACGAATCCCGCTTATATCAAGTGAGTTAATGTCTAATTATCTCTGATTAATTATGTCAGTTTTAATCTGATACTTCTCAATTTATTTACGATGTTGTACATGTTTCAGCGAGACTGTGAGTAGAATCAGATCCTTGTTACCTTGTATTTGATGTGACACTGGCACCTAGGCTACTAAGGCAGCAGGTAAGGCTAATGGCATGCCTAGAGAGTAGAAATTAAATCAAAATACTGTTTTGTGTTCATGTTAGGGGCTAAGAAAGTGAGGAAAATTACCAGATATGTAAAATTACCTAGGTAATAAAGTTATTGATGAATGATGATGATATACTAATTGATATAAAAGAAAAAGAATCCTCATAGTTGGATATTACTATTAGGTAGAATAGCCTATTTGTGCATCCTGGCGATTGGTGCTGGCCGTGCTGCAAGGTGAAATTTGGCAGAGGAACCCAGGGGCAAGGGGTAATATAGGTACAAACATGTGCTATGTGCACATATGAATCATATGTGAATGTGAATAGCCACCAAATAATTCGGGTAGAATTCTGGGAATGTGCATTCATATATTCAAGATTGATGATCATTGATCCAGCCTAGTAGTAGTAGCATGATCAGTCAATGCCAATCAGGTATAAAATATTAGGTAAATATAAAATAAAATTTAATTGCACATTTTTCAAACATATACTTCATTTTTTATGTCATATTTACCTAATAGCTATTTTGTACCTGATTGGCATTGCCTGATCAAGCTAGTGATGATGCTACTACTACCTACTACTACTAGGCGGGATCAATGATCATCAATCTTGAATATATGAACGCACATTCCCAGAATTCTACCCTAATTATTTTGTGGCTATCTATATTGTGTAATTCCAATTTCCAATTATAATGAATATCATTCTTTGGTCTGATCGTCTGAACACTGATGAAACTTATTCATGAATCACATTTAAAATATCTGCATCATTTAAGAATACATAAGACACTGTAACTTATAAGTCTCTAGTACTGACAACTGACATTATTCATTACCTAGTCCTAACTCCTAATTTATTACATGAATCATGAAAGCCAATTTTATCAATAAAATAGCTAAAGGGGTGTTTGGGCATTAATGGTGAATTGAGACTTTATTTTCAAGATGGCAAAATCTAATAACTTTACTTCAATTGAACAATTTGTAAAAACAGTGAGAACATTTTTAACCTGTCTGTAGATGAGAAAGAAAGTTTTAAAATAATTTTGGGTGGGTAACAAGCTAGCTAAGTCAATCATCTTGTAATCCTAATTGCTCTACAAAAAAAAAATTGTTTTTGAGAAAAATTCGTATAAAAAACATTGCAAAATCTTCTACTAGGACAATGTATCAGTTGAAGCTTAATGAGTCTAACAATATTATTAATTTTCTCAGACTTAGACTGAGAAATATACCCATACATAGAGACAACTTTTTCAATTCTTTACCTTGGCAGATGGGAAATAATTTTTTTTTGTAATGTACAAAATTTTTTTTTAATGTGTTTTGTGTAATGTAATACATGTTTTGTTTGGTGATGGTAACATAGGTGCTTTATAGTTTCAGTCCTGCATAATGTTGCATTATTTTGTTATCAAATCATTAAATTTTAGAGCAAAAACCCTCCTAGTCCAGCTAATCAACTTTGAAAAATCAGAATGTGTGTCATAAATCCATTCAGCATTTGATTTTCAGATCAATCTAATTCATGGAAGTGACTTCCATGGCAAATGATATATTTCCAAAAATTCAGTCAGTGGGAAACTTATCAAGTGTTTATTTCAAGTGCAGGTGACTAATGTATGAAATTTCAACTGGAACCTTACTTTCAGAGACGTTCTGAGTTCCTTATTAGCTAGATATAATATTGTCCCATGAATTGCTGTACAGTTGGGGATTGTCATGTAAATATCCTAGTTTCTTTTTACCACCCATTGCAAGAAGAATTTATCTCTGTTCATATTAAGATACATTTATTGCACGATGCAGTAGGTCATGAATGAATGGAGTCCACAAAAATTTCCTAAACTGAATAGGTTAATTACGTAACTTTGAATTATCTGACTTCATTCCATTTCATTTTTCAGGTTTGGCCGTGACTGTAAAGAAACCCAGGAAGATGAGCCTCACTCCAGCCTGCTGATCGCAGCACCTAAGGCAACCGCAGAAGCTCTCTCCCACACACAAGGAAGTATGTGTACCGCCACTGTTTCTTCCCGTCCAGCATCTGACCGTGGAGCACTGTGGCTCAAGATGTCGTGCGTGGTCGCCTCCACCATCAATGCAATCAAAACATCAGTGAAACTGCTGTAATATAGACCGTTCCATGCTTTTAAAAAGCCAAAATCTGTGATGTTTTTAAATCGTTTACACTGTCCCAGAGTATGCTTGCGTTTCCTGGAAAGTTCCACTTGGAAGATTTTCCATCGAGCCATCATAGTTTCTACATAATAATGAAGAAGCGGTTGCTATAAATTTATGAGCGTTTTGGTCCTTCATGCGCACAACATATTACGAGAAAACGAAACTGTTCTTATATGCGACTAACACGTTATTTATCATGATTCAAGTAAAAAGATGTTCATGCTATGAGGGTTGTGCAGTAACATGGCCTTCGGACAGTTATCTCTGCAATTGACATGACAATAAAAAGTTACCATGAATTAAACAGACCAATTCTAGCACTTCGCTTTTAATACATGGTATTATTGTTTTGTCGTCCTGAAACGTTTTCATACTGTAGTACGTATATCTCTCACGGTGGGGCCGTTGGCCATAATAAATAGTACAAAGTTAATGACTTTCAATCCATAACAAAGTATTTGTATTTCTTGTAAAAGTAGAACTCATTCCAGAAGTTGCGCCAAAAAGCTGGGAAACAACATTGGCCGTTGATCAAGTTCATTTGTATATGCCAGTGGATGAAAAACCCATACTTTTGCAAGTTGCCAAGATTTAATACTATTCATGGAAGCGTTCCGATAAGAAACCTATATAGCAACATGTACAGTGAATAGTAATTTTAATAAACTTGTGGGACCAACCAAATTAATTAGTTTACAATGATTTGTTCTCCTTTACAGTTTCGTACAGTGGAGAAGTATCGTGAAGACCAAGGTATAACGAGACATAATTACCGGGTTACTTAATATAACTCCTTGATGACGCGTTCACAATTCTTGAAGATAACAAAATCTATTCGAAGCACAATTTATTTAACTGATAAATAAGACGCGTGATCCTCCACAGATGATCGCTTATATGCCTCATAATTTGAGCGAGGCAAATTGCAGATGCGTTAGAATAAGGATGCTTACAGAAGATATTGCGATTGAAACTTATAAAAGATTATGAACACCGATTAACTTAGTACGGAACAATACTAACGAACACATAATCAGTGCAATATTCGAGGCAGAAATGGTTGTTTGCTGCTCTGTTACCAACGCATATTAGAATAATATCCATGTACAAGCAGTATTAGAAAGCACGACATTCGTTCCTTGCGTGATCGCGTTTAAGGAGTCTCAAGCACAATTTGGAGTCAATTTACCAACTTAACTAGTTTGTTAAATTTTTTAAGAGAGGACCAAAATCATTTTTGGCGGTAGTTTCTTATTAAGACATCGTATTCGTAAAAACTAAATTCAACCGCGCGCGAAAGTAAAATCTGACGTGTGATGAGGTACCGGTATATTGTAGGTTTAATCAATGTCGCTCATTAATTGGGCGATTGCAGCAGGTCCCGGCTTCACTTCAACACCATGGTGCTGTCTAAAGGCACTCTTAAAACTTCTGGATTAGCTCCGGCTTCATGAAGGTGAACCCACCTTTGCTCACGTGCGCTATCCAACTCCCGGGATCGGCCAGGTTTGAAGAAACTAGAGGGAACTTGTGAGCAATAAAACCAAGAACATATTTGAAGCTTCCTTCTCATTTTCAGAAGTCTTCACATAGCAATCGGAAGTCTTCATTTGGCAGGCTTATATTTCTGAAGACATTAGTGGTGAGGCATGGGATTTCTGAACGCTGTGATCCTGCTGATACACTGAAGAAGAGTTCGATTTTGGAGTAGAGTTAGCTTTTGAAGTTAGGAGTTATTTGTGTCAGGAGTTATTCTTGGAGTTTTTTAAAGAGAGTTTCCAACAAGTGGGTCACGCAGAGGTTGACAATGTGTTGGAAAAGGTTCGTGGGACTGTCCTGAAGAGGTTCTTGTGGCGGTCCTGAAAGAAGGTCCCAGGATGGTCCTGGCAGAGGTCGAAAAGTCGGTCCTGGAAGCATTTCGCACGATGGGTATGGCAGAGGTTCACGAGATGGTCCTTTGAGAGATTTGATTGAAGATCTCGGTAGAAGCTCGCAATTAGTTCCTGGCTGAGGCGCAGAAGGTGGTAGCCGAGTCTCGCCAAGAACTTCTGCACATGCCAAAATATTTATAGTTCAGAAATATTGGGGTTACGTGATGGAGAAGCCAACCCGAAATTAATGAATAAATTATCTCCTCTAATTTCTATATATTTTCAACAGGAGATAGATTTTTACAAAATTGGTTTAGGGGTAGAATTTATTATGTCCTGATGTCGAATTTTGCAGTGAATATGAACATGGTAGTTCAAAGCCTTTAATCAAATTTATGTATGCAAGCATTAATTGTTATGGCTAGAAAACTGTAATTAATAATTATGATCATGAACAGTTATCTATGCCCAAAGTTGTTTGGAAAGAATAAATACATTCAAATGAGCACTCAAGCATGAAGCTACTCCATCCCCTTGGGGATGGAGTAGCTGTTTGTGAGGGAGAAATTTATACTTTGAACAAAATATTTTCTGCAAATGTAGAATGAGGATAAATAAATAAAACATTCAATACTATTGTTATATGATCAGAATTGAGTGCAGGATCCCTACTGTTGATTGGTATTAACAAATAAGTCTATGCAGATACCTAATTGTATCACGACCCAAGCTTGCCCATGGGAAGATGTGTTTGTAAATAGAACATAAACTCATTCAAAATATTTTGTTAAAATACTATCAAAGTAGTACCTACATAAGATGAAAATTGTGTTCTTTGATGTCTGTTAGGTAGTGTGTCTTACCTTGAACAAGGCTATTTGAATGTGCTTAGTATTGTTTTTTTTTCAACGGCCAAAGGATTGCATTTTCTGCACACTGAAGGCTAACATTCACATTTGACATTGAATAAGTAAAATAAAGGCAAAAAATGTTTTAGATACCTTAAGCAAGTTAAATATTTACTATTGCAGAGTTGATCGAGAAGACTGAAGTACTAAGGCCGTGCAAATGGCGGCGCCGTGCCGTGAAGAGCAATACCGTCCTGCGCTCTCCTCATGGCAGGGGCTTCATTGTCTGCAAGAAAAATATTTACTTAAGACTGGGTACTTTTCAGCAATTACCTACATACATTAATTTTTATTTCTAACCTTTAATTTCTTATTGGGGATACATAAACACCATGAAAATAGTAATACTCAGAAGGTTACCATAAGAAAAAGCAATGCATTTTCCCATTGTAGTGTGAAAGCATCTTATAACTTACCATCGTTATCCAATATTTATTGGGCTAAGCGTTTCATCTCTCTTTGGTCAAATCTCAGTACTCGGGAAGAATTAGGCAATGTTAATAGATAAGGACATAAATAAAAAACTGATAAACATGTTTGACTATCTTCCTGGGAACAAATTACACATTCATGTAGTGTAGAATAAAGTATACTGGACGCAATAGAGTATATTCTCAGTCAAGCTGTTGGCTATGTCCCAATTCCATGTCAAAATCTGTTAAGAGAGCTACAATGCACTAGAGAGTGAATAGATTAGTCATCCTATATATACATATATTGAGTGTGTTTACTGGTTAATGGCAATTTACCACAATATTTCAATGCCTCTAACCAGAAGATAATAATTACACAAAAAATGAAGGGAGGAAGTGCCAAATAAAAATTGGCAGGAATAACTAAGGACCAAAAAATTCCAAAGTTCACAATTGCTCTTTTAAAACTCAATTTCTCAAACAATGTATTCAGCATTACCTGAGACTGTAATGCTCTGATCCTGCATTACATGAAAGTTCATGGTTCTTCAATACTCATAAGTTGGACTACTAAAATAAGATATTTGAAGTTGTTTCAGCCACTCAAAAACTCACAGAAAAGATTGTTGAGGCTAGTTATTCTAGTAACCTCAGATTGCTTGAAAAAAGAAACACAAATGTTGATGTTCATTTTCATTGTGATTCATACCTCTTGACAACCTGAACACATACAATAATTTAAAGGAAAAGGAACAATGCACCCTTCAAGTCAAAGTTGCCACAAGTTAGACTTAGTTAGAACAAGTTAGTTAGAGAGGTAGTACCTCATTTGCCAAAATTGTTTTGCTTAGTTACTTACCAATCGTAGAATCATTTAGCAATGTGGCCAGGCTGGCAGATGTTGATCTGGAATAGGATCTTCTTTCAAATTGTAGTTCTTGGTTCTTGCCCCCATTGATGCCACCTTCTTAGTTCTTGCCACCATTGATGCCCCAAAGTTCAAATACACACACTGCAGGCTGCAGATAGAAACTGCCAACCTACTAGGCCTACACATGGAAAGTATCTAGGTACTTCTCACATTACAAATAGAGCTTCCCTGCCCATCTGCCCAATATGGAAAAATTAGATTTCTGCTGGATGAATTAATTAACTCCCATCTTATTGTTTGTAAATAATGTATATCCTTTTCATGTGACTGATGGCTATTGAATGCAGAAGTTTTATCAAAATTAAAAATAATATTTGCAGAGTAGCCAATTAAAATATAAATTATTGGCCACTGCCAGTCTGCCACCCTTCTCCATCCACAGTCTACATGACTACACAGTACAGCTGCTAGGACGCTAGGCTACTAGGTAGTAGGTACTTCAGTACTTGCACTCACTGACTCAGCCTGCCAGGCTGCCACTGTCACCTCCCACTAATAAATTCAGCACATGGGAAATATTTATTGCATTTATGATCTCATTATTCTATAATCAATCAATGAAAAACTTGAGTCTTGTTTTTCAAATAAATCTTTCGTCAGCATTCCATTACCCTCCTACAAATATTATAGCACCAAAAATGTTTCATAGCCTACCGCGTGACGCTTAAGACAGATACAACAATATTGAGAGTCGGTGATACAATTTTCAGAACAACATGACAAGTAAGAAATGAACCAAATTACACCATTAAAACAATTTATAGCAAAGCATATTCTTTGTTAGCTTACGAAAATAAAGGTTCGTTAGAATTGCGCTTCCTTTCATCGACCGTTAGTTGAGTGGCCGTCATTCCTACTCCTTTCTGTTTCTGCCCTTGTCTGTCGGTCCATCATGTTTCCCATTTATTTAATATACACTCCACGAAACGGATTTGTAACACCGGCTTTGCTTGAAGTAACACTTGTTGCAGCAAATGCAGTTTTATGGGCCATTTTGAGGAGGTCAATTTTTTTAAATATCATTTCAAATACCTACGGCACAAAAACAACGTGTTGATCTCCACTGTTTACATTTTTGGCCCACGTTGACGTCACACGAGACATGCGCAGAACGGCGAAAAAATCGTCGTCGCCGTGGGTCAACCTTGTATTAATTCAACCATGGAGACACATATCATTCGATTTGTAACAACAATATCTAGCGACTGTAGAGCCCCGATTTTTTTATTTTCCTCGTTTTTTTTATTCGCGTTCTTCCCATAATTAACCTAAATAATGACATATAAATACCATTTATTTGTAAATAATGATATAAAATGATCATTTTATAAAAGTACAAGACTGCATTACACAAAAAAGTATTGCATGTACATCTATGTGATAGTAGCTTTGTTGAACGCGTCTCGTTTGTAGCTTTCAAACGAGTGCAAACACTTTGTAATTAACGAGAGTAATGATCTATATATACAGATTTAATTCAAATAAATCTTTGTACATATTGGTAAAAAATTATTATACATATATTTTTAAATTGTCTTACGCAAAAATTATAGCACGCACAGACATGCGGTAAACTGCGTTAGACGCGCCTTTTCAGCAGCTACAAAATGAGTCAAGAAAACGGTTAAGCCAAAATTTCCGCTTTTTAGGGCAGCCGGTCCCCTTAATAGTATTAAATATTATTTAAAAACCAGCATGATACATACATAATATAAACTACAGCATAAAACTGTACGAAAGATTTCGGTGTAATGTTGTCAACCTCAGCCTGTAACTAGTGTCAACATGTTAGTTGTTACCAGTTACCACTTACAGGTTTTTTCATCTTTCAGTTTGCTTACAGTTATTTTTACACAGTTATTTTTATGTTTCACCTTCCCTACATGGATGTCTACTTTAATCTACCAATCTCAAAAATAATCCACATATATATACAAAAAGACTGATTTTTTAATGTACCTATATGTGGATTATTTTTTAGATTATTGATTAAAGTTCACATCCATGAAGGGAAGGTAAAACATAAAAATAACTGTAACTTTTATTTACTGTATCTAACCCATACTAGTTCGGTTAGGTTAATTGCAATAAAGTTGCATTGATATGTTTTAAAAATGTTTTATTATCAATAAATGTTAATAAGTAAATCCCAATAGCAAAACAATAAATATTAAGGGATTTCTAATAATTTTGGCCATTGTAGCGGCTAATGTAGCGCGCTACATTTTACTGTAGCGGTAGCGCTCGTTACAATCTAGTGGATGTAGCGGTAGCGCCCGCTACATTTAGAGCATGTAGCGGTAGCGGTGCTACATTTCAAAGTAGCGCTGCCCAGCTCTGGCATATTCCGTTCAGATGCAAAAAAAGTTTGAATTTGATGGACGTTCAAGTAGCAGCCCAAGCGGAGCAGAACCTTGCAATCTTACACGAGACGGATAAAGTATTCAACACGGATCAGTGGGCACTGTTCAAAAACTGATAGAAATAGGAGATCTTCTGCTGAACCCTAATTATATTCTTCACTTGGGATAGGAATGGGCAATTCTTTTGATGGTTAGTCAAAATAAACGTGGTCCACAGGTTATGGCGATGAAACACGCACACGAAGGCCATGTTGCAGTTTACTCTACAAAAAACGCCAGACGAAATGAGGCTCTTAACCTCCAGAGAACTGTGAACAACTCGTAGGCTTCACTGAATTTCCTTGACTTTACCTACTCTCGTGGCATTTATAATTAAGAACTTTTAGATAAAAGACGCGAGCTGTGACGTGATCATTTAGAATTTTTTTTAGATCAATGGTTCCCAAACTTTTTCAGGCTGGCGCCCCCTTTGGCTCCCCAGTGAATCTCCATCGGCCTTCCCCTCATCCGACAGACACATATACAAACGCCTCTTTCTTGATATTTAGTAAGCTGCAAGTTTAAAAGAGAAAGGTTAAACACAAATGTGTATTTCACAAATAGAACCCCAATTAGGAAACCAATATAAATTCTTACAGTTTTAACTGTTTCAGAACTAGAAATTCAAGATGGCTCGGACTAACTTACAGCAGGTCTCGTAGCCTATCTCCGAATTCAGCGGCCTGGCCAAGGAATATCTCCCAAACTAATGAACGCAGCTCAATAAAACTTGGCACACGTATTCATTAGGACCCAACGGTGATGTTCAGCTCGTGAAAATTTTTTAAATTTCTAATTCATTCGGGAGTTATATGGCGATACGGGCCGAAATTCGCAGTGATCAAAGTATTTCTACCAAACTAGTGAACAGATTCGAACGAAAATTTGAATATAAATTCTTAACTTCCAATCGGTGATTTTAAGCTCGTGAAAAATTTATTCGAGTCGCAGTCATGTTTCGCACGTGCTGTGTACAAATCGTCAAACAAAAGTACTAACTTCTGACTTTGCGGACTGCCGCCCCCCTACTGGCGATTTCTTCCTGATTGCCTCCCCAGATCTTTCCACCGCCCCCAGGGGGGCGATATCGCCCACTTTGGAAACCACTGATTTAGATCGTATGTACAGCTGGGCTATTATACTAACAATAACAGAGGTATCAGCGTTTAATAGGTTGTTAAGTCTGTCGGCAATTTTCAACATCGCATATTTAAATCTTGTTGTGGGTCTTGAACACGCAACTCACTGCCCCAATTCTGCTGTGTTTAACCGCCCGGCCTCCTCGCTGATTCAGACCACTGTTGCAGGTAGCTAGTCAAACTCATAGCTCGCTGCTCCAATCCCGGTACTCTGAACTGAAACCGCTGGCCACACGGACGTAGTTCTTGACTACCTTCAATTCGTTGACACGATGACATCTGGCCCGGTACATTTATATATACCGGCAAATTATAGATTAATAAAATTCACGCTTATTCGACGAAAAATATCACACGCGAGGCTTAAGTATGCAAAGCCGGCAATTCACAAAGAAGCGAATTCACTACATCTTCGAAACGTTTTTTTTTTATTTTGCCACGAATTTTAGCGTTTAGCGAAGTTCCCTTAGAACATTGAACTGAATCTAGACATCCCTGAGAAAGAGATTTCACGACTGCGTCTGGGTGTGAGAGTGTACCAGAGAAGGCAAGTCATCAAGGACGGTCTGAGTTTGTGAGTGGCAGATGTTCAGCTCTGGGAAGAGCTCGCGCCTCACCTCATCACTCGTCTGGGTTTGTGTAGTTGAGCATAAATACTGTTCAATTGCAGAGAAATCTTCATAGGTTTGGGTCTCGATGGAACACCAGGCTGAAGAACTTTCGTCCCCTAAATGTTCAAACTCGTGTTCATTACACTCGTGATATGGACTAGCAGAAGTGGCACTTAGTCCTAAAAGAATATCGTGCTCGGTTTGAGTCTCTATGTGGGAAATTCGTGCAGAAGATGGACAAGTGTCATTCTGGTCTAGGCATGAAGATTGTTTCAAGACCTCGCCGTAATTGATGTCGCCAAAGTTGTGGTCTTCAAGCAGCACTTCATCTTTGTCTCCCACTAAGTATCCTCCAGTGTACTTGAAATTCTCTGGAGAAAGATTAGAGTCGTCGTTCTGAACAATAGCATCTTGCAAAAGAGCACCTCGATTTCCTTCGCGTGTTGTTGAACCGGTACTGTCAGCTGCGTCACTTGAGCAATAATCTGATGATAATTGACTTCGCCACGAAGATTCTGTATCACTTTTTTCTTCAGTTGAATGTTTCGAGTGAGCGGGCCTATTGGATTGATCTTGGTAGTTTTGAGAGCCGTACTTGTCAATAAGGGTGAGTGTGATGCCCTCACATAAAGAGGCTCTCGTGCCCATCCCGACAGTAGCGCAAGCTTCTGTCTGAGAGCTGCAGGAGCTGTACGTCCCAGCTCTTTTATCAGTGACTAGAGGTAATTCAGCAGAAACAGGGCCATATTCATTTTTCGCAGACGTCAATGCGTCAAGTTTTTCAATAACAAAGTAATTTGAGCTTACATTTGAATTAGATTTCTCAGGGCAGACAAACGTTTCTTTTGAATACGAATTAACTTTCTCAGAACAGTCGGGCAGTTTATTTACATCACTAACAAGAGACGTGAAGATTGCAGGAATTGGCGGTTTCAGGGTGCTAGCTGTAGTTCCAAGGTTGGAAGATTTCTCAGCATGCAATAAGGTAGTTGTAGTTAAATAGTCATCACCAAGACGCTTGTGATTTCTCCTCCTCAGGTTGGCGACAGGGAGGTGAGGACGCATTTTGGATCGCGACGCTTTGGTAGTGAGCCGCGTTTGGGTTTGCGCAGTCTGGCGAGAGCGAAGCGCACGACGTCTCGCGACCGCACCAGACGGCCGGCGGTTCTGTCTTCCAACCACCGCCCCGCGCCCGCTTTCAGTTTGAGTACTTACGTTTACACCCGGAACTCTGCGAAAAATGAACTACGTGAGAGCTACGTCAGATGCAGAATTTTAATGTATAGGTCATTATTACCTTGCTAAATTCATCAAATGAGAAAACAACATTACACAAGTACCTTTTTATGGCTGATGCTGCTAGTTCACTAAGAGCAATTGCAGCAAGCAAGTGAGGCTGACTACTGAAGCCAGGGCTGCGGATAGAAACAGGAACTGAGAGTGATGTATTCTGCGAGTTGTGAACGATTTGGTGGTGAAACTCAGTCTCATTGGATAAGGAACTGAATGACACAATTGAAGAATTTCCTTTTGTCACTTTCTTCACGTGAGTGCATTTATAGATATCTCCACAAACCCGATGATTCTTGGGAAATGATTTAAAGTGCCCAGCTGAAGCTTTGATGGGAAGGGTCTGCTCTTTAGAGAATAAGGAGCTTGGTATCCCATATGTGGGGCGGCATTGAGGACGATCAGGTAATGCCAACTGGAAGTTATTGGGCGTTTCCTCGGAGTCACCAACCATGATTATAGACAATGAATCGATTGGATTATTTTCTGTTGATGAGAAGCTTTCTTCGTCAAGAGATGGACTATCACACAGAAGAGAAATGCTCTGTTTTTCAACAGAAGAAGGATCCTGCGCGTTATCTTGTGCAGTTTTGAATAAACTATTGTCTTCTTTATGTGCATTCTTTAAACAGGAGGAAGAATATTTGCCCTTTTCTTGAGCCAACAATGAAAGACGTTCCCTGTTGAAAAATTTCCATGACAATTAGTACTTCATAGCCAAGCATCTCAATGATTCACCATGGCAGTATACAATGGATATAGCATTAATTTGACAAAACAATTAACAATTGATCCTTTAATTCACTAATTTTTGCTTATAATTGAATGATGCATCTATCATATCAAGATAAAGACCTCATAGACACATTTTATTTTCTAAAATTGTTTTAGGATGCAAAGAAATTGTTATCTTTCCAGAGAAAAACATAACAAAATATGAAGGAACATTGTGAGGAATCAATTCCAAATTGATTGCAGATTGCTGGAAAGTAGTACACATTAAGTATTACCTAATAAGAACCTGTGACTGCTGGTGGGGAGTGTGGCCAAGACGCCGGCAGTGTGACTGCAGGGACTCAATTGAAGAAAATGAACTCATGCACAAAGAGCATTTAAGATCAAGTCCGCAACTTCGACGGTGAGCTGATAAGAGCCTTTGACAACTGAAACTGAGATTACAGCTGCTGCACTGTAGCACTCTTGGAGCATGAAGTTTGAGCCAGTGCTGCATACATCAAAGTTAGGAGTTATTAGGGAGGATTCAATCAGCCAATTGAGCTCTTTGATTTTGATAAAACTTAGCTTTTTATTACAAAATTTCGAATTAATGTGAATAATTAACATTCATAGAAGAGATAATTTGATCATTAAAGGTATTTTGAAGACATAGTCAAGGGTTTATTTAGCTAATAAAATACTAGTTTTTTATGCTGTAGAATTTGGCTAAATTATCATTCAACCTATAAATATAAGAACAGAAGCCTTGAAATTCAATTTAAAAATTATAAGTTAAAACAACAGCACAAAATCTACTCAAAACTCATTTATTCACAGTTCACTAGGCTCTTTGCATATCTATTACTTGCAATTTGCAAATAATTTATGTATTTTTTTTGCACAATTTGCACGTTAGCAGATTGTGCAAACAGGGATATACAACTTCTGTCACATTTTTGGCTCTTTGACACTTTTCATTGGACATTAGTAGCAAAGCACCCAAAGGAAGCCTGCATTGTTGGCTTGTTTGATGATAACAGAAAAGACATTACATACACCAATATGCAAAGTGAGAAAATATCATGTCACTGATCCTGCTGATAATGAAGCCAAGTATTTAGTATGTTCTGGGGTATATGGAATAAAATGATAATGTTTACTACAATTTCTTTGGGATGAGCCAGTTCAATTCTAAATTCTTTATGTATATTGGTTCTGGTTAACACTTCTGTCACTGTTGTTTGAAACAAGGCCACACTTCAGTCCTAAATAACGATTCATTTCAAGATTATCTATTAAAATTGGAAGTAGTGATTCTTTAACTAATTCAATGACTGGCCTACTATTTACAAACATTAATTACTGATTTTTTTATTGATGCAACCTTGAAATGTTGATATTGGCCTAATTTATCCATAAATAATCAATTTATAAAATTCCTATTACAAGTATTGTGAAAAGCTATAGCTCTATTGGTATAAAGGAAGAAAATAAGGTACTCTTCAATAAACTTATATTAGATTAAACTAATCATCTCACTTGTTTCAGGCATCCCTTTGTTAGAAAGTGCTTTGCATTGGTGGCAGGAGCATCAACATGATATGGGCAGAGCTTGGCAGGGCAATGATACCATACCAAAGGATTTTCCATAGATTTTACTGGTGAGAAGTTCTTGTGTACCTGGAAAAATTTAATTTCACTATGATAACATTTTACAATGACAAAAAAATAGAAGGCATAAAGCCAACTGTTATTAACAAATATTAATAAAAATTTGCTTTTACACAACTCCATTCATATTCTTTTTCAGTACTACACAGTTATAAGAATGTTAGAAATAATTTTCACCTTTTCTAGATGAAACTTCCTGGCAGAAGATGTACGGAAACTTTTGTTACATCCTTTGAATGTACAGCTAACATTTAAAAGGATTGTACTGAGATCTTTGGCACTGGGAGTAACATGTTCTACTCCATCAATAATATTCATTTTGCAGGAAAACCAACCAACACTGAAAATAGATATTCTACAATGAACTTCTGTGATCTGTCAAAAGAAAACATATTTCAGTTAAAAATAAATAATATTACTATAGGTAATCTATTGCAAATTCATGCAGTAGATTATAAACTGCTTCGTTCAGGTGGACACAGGAATAAGTTTAACACCCAGTAATGCTGCACATTATCACAGTAAATTTTTAGTTAATGTACTCACTTACAAAAGATTGTCATTCAAAAATCCTAATTAAAAAATAGAGGTCAGACTTATTACAGTTATAATTGATATTATTTTCCCAAGAATATTCTAAGGTCTTACAAGAAGATCTACCATCAATGCCACAGAAGTCACCATGCTGCAAAACTGCACATACCCTGCCACTAAAAGGCATAAAATATCAGTCAGAACTACAATTTGTAGGGTTTAATAACCATATACTGACTGATGCTGTATTGAGCATGTTAGAAAGATATGATTAAGTTTTTTATATAAAATACATTTATAATGAAGGCCAGCAAGTTTAGTGCTGAAGGCAAGGTTATTGGCATTGGCAATAGATCTTCAATTAAAAGTAGATAAGCAAATAAATGTTATTGTAACATTCAAACAAAATTTTCATGGATTTCAAGTTAAAAAAAAAATATATAGCGGTTTCAGCGTTAGTAGGCCGTAGGCCTGTCGCCGATTCTTAACATCGCAGAACATCCACAGCTTCTTGCAATCTTGACTCGCAGCTCACTGCTTCAATTTCGCTTTGCTTAACCGCCCGGCCTCCTTGCCGATTCTGACCAGAAACTGGCGCACAGAGCTGGGATCGAACCCGCGACTCTCTGCTCCAATCGTGGTACTTTGAACTTTAACCACTGGGCCACCACTGGGCCACCTAATTTTTTTCAGCCTTTCAAAGGATGGTGCTAATAAGTAAGTAATTCAACATAAATCTGGCTTGTGGCTTCTGACCAAATTAGAAAATTGGACAGAAGCCACCTGTGAATTGGGCAAAAATGCCAATTTCACTTGTTGCTATAGGCCTATAGCCTTTTCCTAACTTCATCTATGAAAAAAAAAGAAATATTTTTATCAGTTATTTATGAAAATTTTCTGTGAAATGCAACAGGAAAAGAGTTTCACTTTAGATTTGGGCATGGTGACTCTGAAAAAGGTTATTCTGGAGACAGGCAACTCAGGCCTTTACATACAGGATCGGAAATGGAATTTTCCTTCTTGTTCCTGAAATCTCACGGCTCCAACGTGATCAATTTTTAATACATTTAAAATCTTGCAGCGCGATCATGCACTTTTGTTAACAGTTAGATAGGAGGTAATTCATCTGGCAGAAATCTAGCAGTTCCAGAAATGGCAGGAATGCAGGATAGCTCTAGTTGCGGCCCTAAAGAGTAAAGATAGGAGTCATAGGACTAAATATTTTCCATGCTTGCTTAACAGTGGCCATCAGCCAAGGCCCAAGCATCACATATTCACTTTGTTACTGTAAGAACTTGAAAGGAAAAAGAAGGACCAAGACAGGTAGTGGTAGTTGGTAGAGCTTAGAAGCCAGTCAAGCCACAGCAAAGCAGAAGGAAGCTGGAGCCTGGAGGGGTGTGAAAGTTTGTGTTAAGGGTAAGAGGAAAAAACAAGGGGAAGAGAGAAATTCAAAGCCTCAGCACTAGAATCACAGTCTCTGACTCTCTGATTCCACCTTTCAAAGTATTGCTTCAAATTTCACCCCCCCCCATCCTCAAGTGTAGAGCGGGTCAATGGGGTGGAGCCTGGAGGCCCGTGGAGTTAGGAGCTAGCCACTAGGTAGGTGACTGTCTAGTGTCCACTGTTAGAATTCCACTTTGGCCAGCCGCCAGTCACCCAGACCCAGACTCCACGCACCCCTATTGAGTGTTGACAGACCCACAGCGGCACAGCCCACTATCATTGCAACTCATTAATCTCTCATTCACTCATTATTTACTCATACATCACACTATCACTCCTCTCATCCAGTTTCACTCTCTTTTCATCATTTCCAATCTATCCCTTTTGCTTGCATCACACTCCATTATCAGATGCTGTACAGTTTCCCTCACCAGTCACCTCTCTGTCACACATAAAACAAATATCCTCAACCTCTCTTTCTCTTCTTTCATTCCACCTGTTTGTCCATGCAATCACACGCAAAGTCAAAGGCGATCAAAGCATTTGCTCTCATACAAAACATTAGGTCCCCAGTCCCCACCTCTACTGCTGTCAAAGTCATATCTAGGTAGTATGTAGCCTATGTACTCATTCTTGAGCATCTCTCTTTCATCTTCTTCTTTCTTTGCAGGGTGTCCACTTGGAGTGAACTCAAAGCCGCAGGTCTGCCAGATGGATGACCGTTGGGCCTGAGAGCTTATAGCTTGGGGTTTTCAGCTTCTTTGTATATGAGGTTAATTGCTGCCATTTAGTGAGGTTGGCTGATAGCCTGATGTAAGCTCAGTGTAGGATTGGGTAGAAGTTTACAGGGAACATATATTAGTAAATGAAATGAGTTAGGCACTGCTAATGTAATTTAGATAAGTAAGGGCTGCTAATATAACAGCCTTCATTGAACAAAAAAAAAAAAAATTAATAATAATAACAATAATAATAGAAATATATACATAATTATAATAATATTGAAAAAAAACCTAGATGATCTACTTGCTGAATCAAAACAAATATCAGCATCTCTTTCATCTTTTACAATCTCAGACTGTCCTTTCTTTCCATTCCTTACATGCCAGTTATTCAACAACACGTTTCTTGGAGATTTGGAATTCGTAGCTGAAAAAATTCTGTTGTATGTATACTTGTAACACATGGACTCGCAGAATTTACTTCTTACTCATGCTTGATACTTGATAACATAGTTGACCCACGAGAAGTTCCGTCTTTCAGTTCAGCTTTTTTGTTACGTCACGCTGATCAAGAAGCGTAAACAAAACTGTCATTCCCATGACGGATTGGTTGACTGGTTTGATTGCATTTCGATGATTAGTTAATGTCCGTGACCTCACTGAGATTAGTGACAAACCATGGTTGAACTAGTATAAGGTTGACCCATGAGATGCTCATTTTTGCGAATGGAGCTTGTTGTTCGTCTGTGACGTCACTGATCTCAGTGGCGTCACGGGTATTGACCAACCATCGAAATGCAATCAAATCAGTCAACCAATCCATCGTGGGAATGACGGGATTGTTTCTTCTTCTTCTTGTTACTTCTTATAGGAGCACTGGAAACTGGTCCATTTAGCCCCTTACCTAAACAGTTTTTGGTTTACGCCTAACTATCATATAGTAACAATCTAAGTATCTAATAATCTGAAAGAATCTGCAAGAAAAAAAAAACACACACACA